TATTAATGCCTAGTAACTCCTAAAGAACTTCTATTAGCCTTAAATAAAGGGGAAGTATTAAGAAAATTATTACTTAAACCTAAAGCAGATTAATTAATATTATTAAGGATATAATCTACCTAGAGATTATAAAGTAATATATCCTTATATATATTTAAATTAAATAAAATTATATCCTATTAATCTATTTTCTAAAGATTATAATAAGTAGCCTTAAAATGCTTTTCCTTTATATAATTATAAATTTTATAAATCCTTAATAAATAACTAGCAGCCAAAGATAAATAAGATTATAATACTACTATTTCCTTATAAAGCTTAAGAAGATCTTTACTTATTTTATTTTTATTATTCTTTAGTTTTTTTTTTTATTTTTTTAGTTTATAATTATTATAATTAGTAAAGAAAGCTAGTAAAATAATATATAATAATATATAAGAAGATATAATATAAATATTATTATAAGATTTTTTAGCCTAAATATACTTATTATAATAAGCAGAATTAGTAAATATTAGATACTTCTGGCCTACCTAAAAATAATAAGTATAAGGTATATTAGCTTTTTTATTAATAAATTTAATAAAAAGTATAAGTATTTAGATTTTATAATCCTTATAAGATAACTACTTAGATATATAGTTAAATATTATAAAATATAATAATAAAAGGTTTAAGTTAAATCTTATTAAAAGAAGATTAATATTAATTAAGATAATAGGCCTTAGAGATAAGATTACCAGAGGAGAGAGATTATATTATAATTATAGTAGTTATATTATATATATCTTATAAAAAAACTCTATTTTAATAACTAATTAAGTAAGAACTAATAATAACCTTATATTATATTACTTTTATATAACTATTAATAGTATATAAAATATATTTATTAGTACTTTTATAAAACTTAGCTTACTAGCTATTAATAATAATTCTTTATATTAATAAGCCTAATATATATTACCTAATTATTAAGAGATATAATACTTTATACTACTTAGTATTATGCCTTATATAATTTATAAATATAAACCTAGTATAGACTAGTTTACCTGTTTAGAAATCTAACTATTATACTTTTAGTTTCTTATTCTTAACATAAGACCTTATAATTATCTTAGGAAAGCTTAAAATAATCTCTAAGATCTTTTCTTATAAAGTTATTATAATATAATATATCCCTATCTAGAGATAATTATAAGTATTTTTATTATTTTTTAAGTTTATAAGTTAGCCTTAAAAGGTATATTTAAGTATCTTTAAAATCTAATATAATTTAAATATTTATTACCTCTTAGTAGGCAAAGCTTTATTAAATTAATATTATTATAATTAGCTGCCTTAATTATAGCTTAAACCTAGCTATATATAACCTAGCTAAAGGGCCTTACCTACTCTTTAGCTAGCCTTAATCTTCTTCTTATAATTTACTTTAAATGCCATTTTATTACTAATCCCTATAATATGCTTAAATTATCTACTGCGCTTTAATAATAAGTAATTTAATTTAACTTATAATTATAACTATTAATAGTATTATAGCTTTACTATTATAATACTTATTATTAAAAGAAGCCTATAACTACCTAATCCTAATAAGCCTTATTTAATAAATAATTATAATATAACTTATAAAATTAAATAAGCTATTAAGAAAGATAATTATAATAAGCTTTATAATATAATAATAAAAATTAAAATAAATTAAAAAAAAGAAAATAATATTAATTATATTAAATTAGTAATCTTTAATTATAAGATCCTCTTACTTATATAGCCTTATTATTAATTAATAAATAGAGGCTTTCTTAATTATAAGATAAAGCTATTTTATAAGCTAAAAGGGAAGTTACTTAGAGGGGTAAATCTAAGCTAGAGAGAAAGGGAATTTATTAAGGCCCTTTGCAGCAGCTTATATAATAAGTAGCTTAAGGCTATTTAGTAGTAGGCCAAGGAGGTACTAGAGAAAACTAAGCCCCTGTGAGGATAGAAGAGGGGTAATTATAGGGTTTAGGAAGAAAATATATTAAGTTTTTATAAGTTTAGTTACCTAAAGTTAAAGACTATTAGCATTAGCAGCATAAAGAGGGTTAAATAGGTTATAGGATATAGTATATAATAGATTTAATGGATTAGCTAAATATTAGTATACTATTAATATAAACAGGGGAAGTATTCTTATTATATTATTAGGTTTCTCTTTAAAATACTATTAATAGTTTCTTTAAGTTAATAGTCTCTTTAATATTAATCTTTAAGTTTATTTATAGCTATTTAAAGAATTATAAGCAGCTTTATTAAATTACCTTTAGGTTTAAAACGCTTACTATATACCATTTTCCTAAAGTTAAATAGAAAAACCGCGCCCTGGCTACTATAAGATATACTAATAATAACATTACCTTAATAAATATTATATTATAGCTTAGATAAGTTGCCAATAATACTAAATACTAGGACTATTATAATAGCAAGAAAGCTATATTATATATATATTATAATAATAGCAGTAATAATAAGTGCCTAGTCTTGGTTTAGTAATATTATAATAATAATATTGTATTTTCTAATCTTACTAAATATATAATCGTTTATATTATTAGAAGATATTATATTATTAGGAGATACAGAATCAAAGCCATTATGTTATTATTCCAAAGAAGCTACTGCCGCGAGGTACTCTGACTTAATAGAGCAGATATAACTGATAGTGTAGTCGTTAGGATGGGGCATGGTTGCTGAAGTAGGCGACTCAAAGGAAGACTCAAGTCTACAGGGTGAGGATGCAGTGCTTAAAACCAGCGCTCTCGTTAAGCCCTGCTCTCGGCTCTTTAAGGCAATACATTATTGCCAACAACGTTGCGTTGCGACCGGGGCAGGAGGGGGCGCTGGTAGCTATGGTGCATCGATTTGCCCAATTAGAGACAAGGTAGTACAGCCTGATCTGACTGCAGCACTCCATTTCGGTATAATCGATGCTTAGACTGACCTTCACTCTCTGGGGCTGAGTCTTCATGTGACAGTCCTGCATGATGCACTGCCAACTCATCAATGAGCCGCAGCAAGGCAGCCTCCAGGTCACCAGGATCTCCACATTTGGCGGTTCAGTCGAATTAGTCCTTTGCATCATCAATAGACTGGTAAAAGAAATTACAATATCCAACTCGTTCAAAGCCTCCAGCAGGAACCAGTACATGTTTCTTTCCTCTTCACGCTCAAAAGCCAATGCCGAATTGAGCTATAAAGCAATATACATCACATGGTGGAAACATTCTTGAAAGGGTTTCTATGACAGATCCGAGATTTGACTATGTGCTTCATGACAAGGTTGCAAGGCTAAGAATGAAAGCATTCAAGCCGGCATGCAAGTCGACATGCGCACAATAAAGTATTTTTTTGCTTATGTTTAAGGCGCACTATTCTACAAACTTGAAGTGGCAGGGCTTATGTTAGGTGCGCGATACTACGATGGTCCCAAGATGCGATATACAATGCAGTACCCGTAACACCTCTCGCACTCCTCTTAGTATGAAAGACTTTGAAACTTAGCATGCGAAAGAATATGTTCGGCCCCGTCCCTTTAGCTAACCTCGGGCTCGCGCAAACCCCATCTAAAGTTCGGCGAACAAGATAAGAGATAAATACAATAACATACCATCTTCATTTTCCTCTAACTATTCAGATTCGCTTACCAAAGCCAGTAAAGGGGTTATTAGAGGTTTAATTATAGGTATCAGGTAACTATAGCCAATAGCATTATATCATAGGCGATTACGAAGTATAGCGACAGTTGCCCATCAGGGATATTCCGCCAACAAAATGAGTTATAATTCGCTAATACTAGGGACAAGTCGGTCAACTCAAGCAACAAGCTTCTTCAACTCCAGTTTTCAGGTGTGTTATTTCCGATCCCCCGGCTAGAGACAAAACCATTCGGGATTCCCGGCATAGATTAGATATTAACCAAGTAGACCGCCATTGAGATCTTTATCGACATCCCGCACGCAGTTGGGTTAAAATTATCTAGTGCTTAGTATATAGTTATATGCCTTATTCGTTTTGGAACTGGTAACTGCCTGCCCCCTGCAGTGATAGAAGAAATAGCCGCTCTTTAGCTAAGAGTCTTAACTATATTATGAAAATATAGAAAAGTAAAAAAGAAAAAAATTAGTTTTATGTATATCATTATATTCTGGCTTGAGCTTTTACCTAAATCTATATCTATTTTCTTGATTTCTCTTCCTGTCTTTATATAAACGCAGGCAATTCTTCTATTACCACCGAAGCTGCCGCATGACCTGACCATCCGAAGTGTTTTAGGGTCAGTAGGTCAGATGTTTGACTACAAATCATGAATGACAAAGCCGATTAATTTGGAACTTAAATCAGTTATTACTAGTGACAATCTAAATCCTAGTGATGTTTCAGGCTACATGAATATCCTCTCAAGTCCTTGCTCAGCTCCCTTGTCTTTACGCCATATATCCTGTCAGACCAAGTCTAACCCCCAATCCTCTTCCTCTAACCTTTTGATGAGGTTATTGAGACTGTCGTAAAGCTCCGACGAAAACAGACCTGATATTCCAACACTGTGTAGGCTAGCACCGATAATCGGAACCACAGTTGTCGCAAGCGATAGAAGCGTTGGCATTTTGTAAGCTGGTGGTACGGTTCTGACCATCCAACCACTCAGATCCATCATCGACCTAATCCAACCAGAAGCGTCGGCGAAACTTACTTCATTGAGGTTTGGCAAGCATCTCTCACACTCGAGTGTCAAGTACCCTACCATTAGAGAGGACCTCATGATTCCCACCTCTTCAATCCATTGTGGTGAGTCGTGTTTGAACCAATCCATATATTCATGTCGAGAAGACTCGATTAAAGAAATGACGAAATTTTGGATTTGCGAAAGAACCAGTACTCTTTTCTGCTCTATTGCGTCTAAAGAGCATTTATCAAATAAGTGACCAGATGCATATGCGAAGGGGAGCCAATTACTTACCGACTATATGCTTAGGAATAATGACCCCATATTCGTGCGTGTCTTGATCAATACGATGCTTCACCTGTTGTTGCATTATACCCGACAGCTTCTTGAACTCTGGTCCCATTTGGAGTTTCCATAGAACCCAAACCCAGGCTATCGCATGCTGATCGAACGAAGTTGATATATCCGGAAGTAACGCGACAGTCCAGATCCTGCACTGCCTCAAGTATAGTGAGCCGAGGCTGTACTTCTCGGCTAGTTTCAAGGAGGCAACTAGGGTATGAAATGAAGGACTTTCGACACGTCGTCTGTCTCTGATGCCTTCTAACAACTTGAAAGCACCAACATCGTCATCTTGCGCAGGCTCACCCGGGAGAGCGTTGTTTTCTGTGTGCGGAACTGGTTTCACTTCTAGTGCGTCTGATTGCCATCCATCATTTAACCAAACCTGTATATCATATTCGCGAACGCAGCGTACTTTTTCTGAAGTACTGTCATTTATCTGGGGTAAAATACCCTCAACAACAGAATGGAAGCATCCCTCACTTCTCCGACATCTGTCCAAAGACTGAAGGTCAACGCCTTGCCCCGAGGCGGTTTCAGCTTGAGGTAGACTGCTTCTCACAAACTGAAAGGTCAAAGCACAGGGGAGTTTCTTTGTAGTAGAAAATTGGTTCATGAGTTCTAATCCAACGTGCTTGCATTGTTTATGCTGACAAGGTTCATGGAGCTTGAGTGTTTGGCACGCCTCTGTTATACAGATATGGTGAACACAGAAAACCATGGTTTTTTCTGTTTTGGAGGCGCATTCCGAGAGGTCAACTGTCTGCCCGATAGACGCACGGAGTCTCTTTTTAGTACTGATGTTGAAGGGAATTACATCATCGTCGGGTTCGGAAGGGGAGAAATCAGGTGAACTTGGAGACATGTTGAAGTATGATTCCATGTCTCCCACCCCTTCTTCTGACATGTTCTCAGAGATTTCTTCAAGAGGATACGTCAGAAGTTTCTTTGTCTCATCGCGATCAACTCTGCTCGCAGATTGATACTCCTTAGTATTAGTCGCAATGATGGCGATTTGGCTGTCCTGGATGATCAGTCCATATTTACGACTTGGTGCCTCAGGACCTTCGGCTGATGATACCTTGGTACGTTCGACGGACACATCATCCAAGTCCTTTCTTTTAGCATCAATTTCGGCGTTGTAAGTATCATCGATTCGCTCCGGTATACTTTCATTCTGTGTTCTTTTTCCTCCTTTGTCCCGCCTAGCCTCGTTCCCCCCAACCGAGACTGATGACCGCATAGAATCCGGTGGCAGACCCTCTCTTTTTGATCTTCGTTCCTTTTGGGAAGTCCGCTTCTTTTTCGAATGTCGTCCAGATTTGTTGGATCTAGGTTTATATGTGTTCTTGACCGACTCTTCTGGTTTCTCGAATTCGATTGGGTGATCTTTCTCATCAACCAAAGTGAACTTTATGTCACTGAGCTTCCGTTCCTTCTCAATCCTCTTTAGAGCCTCCGCATTTTCCTTCATGTTGTTCTTGATAGTATCAAAAGCATTTTGTGTTTGTTGCTGACTAGAAACCACCGCGGTTAGCTCAGGCTGCGATTTGTTTATACTCCAGGTTATCTTACTGTATGCCCAAGATTTCTAGTTGCCATAAGCACATCGCTGATTGCAAAGACATAGTAGCTTTTTCAGCTGAGCAAATCAGTCCCTGCAGATCCTCATTTTTCACGAGAAATTGGATTGCAGTTTTTTTGTTTCTGAAAAAGTCCTTGATCCGTTTTATTCGAGAGGGGCCTAAGGCTGCATGTGCGCCCAGAATATTCAGTGCCTGTTCTCTGATGATCTTGAGCTCGGTGTTAACACATGCCACTATATTACGACTCATTGTCTTGTCAGTCCCGTGGCCTTGGGTTCGCATTATATCGGTAAGAACACTCTGAACCTAGGTCTCGTTAGAATTAGGGGGTATTTGTTGCGGTTAGGTTGTTTCTTACACGGGACAGGCTTTCCAGCTTTTCGCGGTACTGATTCCATGCAGCTGGTGCAGCTTTAATCCTGTTATGCAATTTCCATATCCTGTGAACCAGATCGCATATAGTAATGATACTGGAGGCACCCCCAAGGCCGTCCATGGTCAAAACTAGACAAGAATAAAAAAGGCTTAGAATTTTGGAACGAATCCTTCTGCTTTCATATGGCGGCAGTTATTCCCGATGAAAGGACGGAATATCCGGCTGCAAACCGATTGTGCTGACCTGAGTCTACGTAATGCATCTTATATGTCCCCAGGCTGGAGGGCCTCATCAAGGTGGCTGCCAACCATCCAAAGGCGACAACACAAAAGAAGGAAAACTGTTGGACACAAACAAAGCCGTTGTGCGTTTGATGAGAAAACACTTACAAGGTCTGTGCACCAACAGTGCCCCAAGTTTGTTGGTGGAGATGCAATCGTCGTGGCAGTGTTGGGCGCAGTTAATGCCTTGACCAGTCGGCTTAAAAAGGTGTCAGTCATGGTGCCGACCATACTGGAAACAGCCTAACAATGCTTCTAGCTAGCTAGTGAGCGCAACAGATTCAGATCAAGTTTAGGGCGTTTTTATGCTGACGTTGCGTTACATGATAGGTTGAGGAAGAAGATCTGCAACCGCTTAGGCGTATTTCAACCAGTCTGTTTCATCGCCTGATCACAGTACTTACGAATTGGTCGCCCTGCATAAGGCACACAATCACCATAGTTAGGTACTGCTCTTCTCCTCTGACACAAAGACCACCATGGCAAGAGATCTAAAATCGAAAATCAAAACATTCTCAAGTTGTGGAAAAAAGAAACCAGCCGTGTTCTTTAGATGTGTCTGGCTTTGATCTATTTTTAAGACACAATGAGGATACATCTAGATAGACACCAAGCTTGTGATACATTGATCCGAACTCAATGTTCAATGAAAAAGGAAGTATCCGACTTCTATTACTATCTAAACTAACTTGCGGTCTCTCTGACTTCTGTCGAAGTGATCTTGGCATGTAAGATGGCAACTGCCTTTTTGTAAATAATGGAACTTCGAAGTTTCTGCCATGACAAAGACAGGCCTTTTTTTAACCACATCGGCAATAGCATAACTTAATACGCGCATAATTACCACAGGGCTGCAATACATCAAAGTTTATTGCGCGTTGAGCTAATACATGAAAGGCGCGATACTGAGGGTGAAGTTACGGAAAACTCGTGCTAATAGCGGCAATAACGTACTAGGTACTGTACCCACCTGCAATGAGTCACGCCGAGCATTCATGCTATGGTATTTGTATTATTTTACCATGCAAAGCCAAGATCGATATTTGTAGGCACTATTCTCCAGATCATCCCCAATATTGAAGTCCAACAAGCTGCTTTCGGTCATCATACGCACTGGAGCAATACCTCATCGCCAGCGATGGCACAGATTATTTATGACGCTACATTCTTTGCCAAATACCCCGCCCTTGATCGATCAGTCAAGGGCCTGGATGGCGCGCCGGAATGGCCACGACTTCGAGAGCTTCCTCCCAGTCTCAGCGGCAACGTGATAGGTTTCGGCTGTGGTTTTGGGTGGCTTGCACGCTGGGCGATGGATGCAGCGCAGATCCTGTGTGAGGCATCGATAACTTCCAAAACATGCTCACCCTGGCGCGCGAAAGGACCAACGATAACAACATCCACCATGAACTCACGGATCTCGATAGCATAGCGTTCAAAGACTAAGATACGGGAATTTACGATTTGGTGTTCAGCTGGTCAGCACTTTATTATGTGGTTGATTTTAAGAATCTTATTAGGTGAGTTCGCTTTACTCTAGAACCCTATAGCTCCTTCGTCTTCTCTATTAAGCATCCCATCTATACTACTCTAGCTTATCTTAAGTTTATAAATAATAAGGAATCTAGATAATAATACTAGTTACTTACTAGTTACTAAAAGTTATAGTAAGTAGGCTATAATATATTATATCTTATAATAATAATTGGAGTAGGATAATTATTATTAAGCCCCCAGTCTACGAGGATATTTCCAAGCTTAAGCAGGACTTCGAGAGTGATGTTCTAGTACCGCAGATAGTCAAGCCCACGTTGATTAAAAAGCTCAACAAGCTTCTAGTCCTTATCCGGAAAGACTTTAATGCTGATCAGGAGTGGCAGCGCGTTGCCGAGATGGCTTGCCCTCCTGAAGAGAAATTTGTGAAAGCAAAAAAGCAAAACATGAATGGCAAGGGACCTCAGCGGCTACCTGTTCGAACGAAAGGACCTATATAATATGGGTTTGTGACATGGCTCTCATCGAACCAATCCTATAGTAGGCCGAATCTGCGGCATATATGTTGCGCCCTCGGGTTGCAGGATCAAGATAATATATATCTCTTTCTCGGAGGTTTAAATATAACACATTACTACTGATTTTCATCGAAAAGTACGATTAACAAGCCTCCAACAAAGGAAGCTTCTTCTCCATGAGCCACTTATTTACCTCAACCACAGTGTTCTCCCACAAGCCCTTTACCTGTCGATCGTCTTTAGCAATAGGGTTGGGATCCTCCAACTTTCCCACGGGAACTATAAACTTCCCCTTATACTTCAGAGCATCTTCCTTAACCTCTGCCGCCGTCGCTGCAAATAAGGAATTGGCAGCACCCTGCTCAGCAGTCAAAAAGGACGCGCGAGCTATAGCCCTGACAAGAATATTATTAATAGCCAGCACACCCTCGGTGAGTACCTCTCCGGGATGAACAGCTATACAGGTAATAGGCAGGTTCTGTCCCTCTAATCTTCCCTGGAGCTCTTGCGTGAATAGCACCACTGCTGCCTTTGATACAGCGTACCGGATCATGTCGAAGCCAAACATGAATCTTCCCAGGAAACGCCATTGCCATGGATATGACGGAACTGGATTCTTGAAACACGTTGGCGAGTCGAAATTGAACTTGAAATTGGCTGGGAGCATGCTGATGCTCGCTGTGGAGCTGAGGTTTACGATCCTGGCGTCGGCATCTGGATCCTTGGCGGCGGCTTTGAGTAGAGGTAGAAGTCTGTTAATCAGAATGAAAGGTCCAATATGGCTATAAGTATTAGCTATCGGTTGAGATGGCCAGTTAGGCTTTACATACTTGGCAACCATGTGTTGTTCGTATTTCCCGTCAACCAACATAGTAGACGATGTTGAGGCAGCTGCGTTGTTAACTTTGGCATAGTTAGTTATCATGATACAAATAGAGGGTCTCAGACATACTGAGAATATGTAGTTTTGTCTCATTTCTCTTTAGTTCGTCGACGGCATGAGTAATGCTGACGGGATCATACAGATCCATCACCAAGTACTGAACATTGCGAGGATTGATGCCGGCGTCTTTTTTGAGCTTGTCTTTGGCTTGTCGTGCCCTCGCATCGCTTCGCGTGGTCAAATACACCTTTGCTCCTTTCCGAGCCAGGAATCTAACTGTCTCAAGTCCAATTCCTGAGCTGAAGCTGTGTCAGACATGATACTAAACTATGAAATGCAAAGTTAGACACTCACCTGCCTCCAGTCACGACAGCCACTTTACCCTTCAGATCTGGTATATCTGTGGAGGGGTCCCATTGCCGTGTCGCCATTCTGGGCAATCCTCCTAGCTGCTGATAGAGTCGAGATGGGATAAAGAGCAAGGGCTGGAAGTATATTGAACTACTGGGAATTGCCCTTTTTGCAGAGCAAAGACATATTTAAACAGCCGCTGGTGCTTTGCGTATGCCTGGCGCATATCTCCTATATCTGACCCCAGCACGTAATTCCATGTAACAGCATGCCCCCACTGTAAGTGCACCAAGCGTAGCACTAATGAAGCTTAACTTAGCATCTCCGACTCAACTCCGCTAGCCTCCATCTCATCTCCACCGCACCTCCGCAACCAAAACCTGAACTAACCCGTCAATTCATCTCCAGATCATTCAAACACATCCACAATGGGTCGGAAAACCAAGCAAAAGTCATGCTTCGCGTGCGTTGAGACCAAGCGTCGCTGCGACAAGCGATATCCCTCATGCTCACGCTGTCTCGATCGGGAGATGGTCTGCACTTATCCGCCTCTGCCAAGACGACAAGCTCTCGACTTCACTGAGACTGAAGCTGCTCCAGACATAGGCTTCGGCGATATGTGGACTTCTTCTGCCGACACGAGCAGTCTTGCTCTAGTTCCAGAAATGTCGGAGCCCTGGCTCCTCGATCCCGTCTTCAGCGCCAGTCTGAACTGCCCGTCAATACCGTCGTGGACGCCCTCTTTATCAGACCCATCCTCGCTACCAGGTTCATCCTCAAGTGGGATGCCTGGGGCTTCGGGTCAGCTGACGCATATATCCCGAGACTTGGGCTGGTTTCTTGGACCTCAATCATGGACTATAGGATATCACTACAGCGCCCCAGATGTGATCCCACCAGCTTCCGTCTTCACTAATTTCATACGCGGCTTACAAAATTGGCTGTCCCGTTTTGTAAAAACAGGGCACAACCCATTTATCCATCGACATCTCCATTCGGACTCGGGGTACCCGCAATGCATTCAAGACGCGTACTCGGCATGTGTTGTCTCCAGTGCTTCCAGTAGCGAGAATGAAACGATCGTCAATGCAATCTCTGCTACTCACATCACGAATCTACTCAACGCTCAGCCCGCTAGGGGCACCAATATCATGTCCACCAGAGACCATCTGGCCCGCACGCAAGCTCTTCTCATTCACATCCTTCTCGCACTCTTCTCTTCCTCAATTGAACGTCGTGCAAGGGCTGAGAATCTCATCAGCCTTCTTCATGCGTGGAAGAACCAGCTATGGGAGTGTGCAACACACGACAGTACACTTGTCTCACCATTGCCGATCTTGGCCAACTCTAGTGAAACAGCTGTCGGGGATTTAGATCCTATCCCCGGCCTTTACCGGTCCTTTATCCTCTCCGAGTCCATCCGACGTACCGGATTACTGTGCAACATCGCCACTGGTGTCTACAGCGGTCTGAAAGGCAGCAACATACAATCATGCGGGGGTGACATTCACATTACCACGCAAGCCAAGTTCTGGGAGGCATCTTCCTCTGCCAGGTGGGAGGCTGTTGCTCGAAACACCGATCCCTTATTTATCTACACTCTAAAGGGACAAATGCTACTGGATCGTGGTGTTGGCGCTGCGCAAGTTGATGAATTTGCGCGACATTTGTTTACTATCATGTGGGGATTGGAAAAGGTTGAGACTTGGGTCGTGAGAACAGGAGATGAGGTTTCTGTTGTATACTAGAATGAGCAAATACGTAATAAAGGTTACTTAAACGCAGATCAGTGTCAAAGTCAAGAAACCTCCTTGGTCATCTATATTCTTCTTGAAAGTCACGATCGGACACTGATTCATCTGTACTGAAGGGTGTCACGCGAGACGGCCCCGAAGAAAGTGGACCGAATCTTTACGGGTCTAGGGACCCCAGATCGCTTCTGAGAGTTGCTGTGGCTGTTTGCTAAGCATCACTTCACCAATAACGAAGACATTGACAGATACCCCCCGTCTTCGTTCGGATACGGGCTGCACCCCTCTCGGGTTTCTCGGACTGTAGCCAACGGGACCACTCCGATCCATCTCCACTTACCTCCGCGCCAAGTCCACTCCAAGCCCACTGAAAGACTATCTCCAGTAGACGGCGAGTTTTTAGGTAGTGATTTCTTCTAAGGGTGTTTAGCAATCTGGGTGTACCTGGCGCAAACGGTATGGAATTCTGATCTCGTCAAACTTCGCAGGGTCAAGACGTGGAGTGATTTGCGGAGTCGGAGAAAGGTGAGTTTACCGAAAAGCACGGCAGCGAGAGTCTCGTGATCTATAAGCATAAAAGGGACTTCTTGCCTCTATATTGTATACTTTCCAACTCACTTCTTATCTATATATCCATTCTCTATTATCTAGCATCCAGCCACCCAACATGTCGACCAAACAAGAGTCTCTCATCGAGTGGGTCACCAAGCTCAACGACACTCTCTTTATTCAACCCAACAACGAAATCGCAATCAAGGCTATAGATGAGCAGGTTGATCCAAGCCTAGTCACCAAGTAAGAACAGTCATGATGACCCTTGAGCCAGTGCATCTAACCCGTGGCACACTAGAATCAATCACAACGTATACACCTACGACCAGTTCAAAGGAGCTCTCCCGTACGTTCGCAACACTACTACAGCAGTTCAAGACGAATTCTCCGAGATTCTTACATGGGAGGATCCAGAGAAAGGGGATGGTGTGGTGGCGGTTTTGAGTAAATGGAGAACTAAGCATAAGGAAACCGGCGAGGAGACAAAGAAGACTAATGTGATTCTCTGGGAGGTTAAACTGATTGATGGCAAGAGGAAGCTTACCGGACAGACTGAAGTGGAGGTAAACTAGATTAGATTGATTTTTTATTGATCTCAAAGATGCTGTCGAGATGGCAATCATGGCATACGTGGCTTACATTCCCTCCGAGGGATGGATCTATCGATGGGTACCACCCCTAGACCAGTTACCAAGTACTTAATGGCATCCTATTTAGGTTGAAACCTCAATTAGAACAAGGGATCAAAGTAGAAAAATAATCATTGAGATCTAATGTACTTATGCCTATAATACAAAGCATATCATACAGAAGCAATTTTTAAAGATGCTTCGAGTGACTTATTCCACTTATAGGCCTGCTATGTATTGACACAGGCAGAAGCAAAGTCTACAATAAACTCAACACTTATTGCGACTGACGCAGGATCCGGACTGATAGGTTGTATTAGTAACAGTCATCAACTCAGCGATTGTAACTCACTTGGCTTCGAATAGTACCTTCCTTGCAGAAGCAGCCAGGAACGCACTGTTTGGTACACGGTCGGGGCTCGGGTTCATCGCATGTCAGGGGACAGGCCGTACCGCATTCAAAGAATTGTTCACCCTATGAATTTATGTTAAATTAAGAAACAAAGTCAATGAGGTAAAGAACAGTTAATACTTACAGCCTTGCATTTCGGAGCAGTGGCGGCAGGAATAGCAATGGTGCCAGCAACGAAAAGGGCGACGAGGGAGATAGAGTACTTCATTGTGAATGTATGATATATTGTTGGGAGTAGAGGAAGTTGTGAGTGAGGTATGGAGGTAAGGAGCAGAGAACAAGATGCTCTGGAAGAATCACAGGCCTTATATAGAGGTTGTTTCTTCTACATTCACATGCCATACGGTCAGTCTCGCTTTGTAACGCCATGCTCTAAATTTTCATTGAAGCACGCGCCGCAACACGACATTCGATGTTCAAGGATCCACTAATGCCAAGATGGTCTCCAGGAGACCTCGTGAACTAGGGGATTGAGAGAACGGCGTTATGGATTTAAATCATGCATCTCAAGTCGGAAGCTATCCTTGAGACAAGACAGTATCTGCAACAGTTAAGAAACCTTTAACTCTCTCTCTATAACTAATAAATAACTTCTGAAATATTTAAATTACAAGAGTTAGCATATGTTTCTCTGCATTTGGCCTTTTAGCATACCCCTAGATTTATGTTGATTGACTTCACTGCCCCACTCCACCTTCTCAATAAGCCGTTAGTGGCCGAGCGGGCCGAGATGTCGATCAAGCCGACATTAAGCCTCACGGGGAAGATGCTTGATTTCCCACTGGACTGCGGCATGTGTTTATGCAAGGGGAAAAATCTGCATTCTGAATGATCAACTGATTTAATATCAAATGACTTTTTACTTATATGGAATGAGGTGAAAAAATCTGTCTTGAGTTGATTGCAACATACGTACTGCTACACCAGCTCTCATGACTTGTAGCCAAAAGAGAATGGACCTACTTCTTTGCCCTTTTTCCTTGCCGAAGTCGTAACTCCGATATGCCATGTACTCCTAGTACATCTTTTGCTCTTATTCATGTTGCCTAAAGCCCGTCTTGATGTCATCCTGAATTCCTCCTATGTCTTTGCTATGGACTTATTGAAGACACAGGGGTTCAAAGTCGCAAAGAGCTTTGTTGACGGGCACAGAGTCCGTAGCCAATGTGATGAGATCGCCATCTTCAGGCCCATGGGCCAGATTCTGGGAAGACAGGTACTCCCCAGTGTCTTGACCTCTGCGTTCAAAGACTGTGACTTGCGGCTTTGGCTTTTCGTTGACTCGAGGCCAAGCGTCATCGTTCCCAGTCTCAGCCCACATGGTCTCCCTCTGCACTTCGATGTACTGGGGGGCCGGAGGCCCGTACAGCTCATCCCAGTTCTGCTTGGGCGGCTCCTCGTAAGTAGCCTTGGGCAGGTCTGAAGCGCTCACCTTGCCATTGTGGAGCAGCTTATACCCCATGTATCTGAACCACTCCAGGTCTCTCGTGAGGACGCGCCCCTTGCCAGGTAGCTGCCAGTAAAACGGCCACGACTCATGGGTGGCCTTTGTGTCGCCGGACTCGTACAAGCCGAAGACAGGCTCAAGAGCTGCAGCGAGCTTGACGTCAGGACTCTTGATGATCTTGCTGTTGGGTCGACCTGTCCCAACGCTGTATTCGTGGAAGCGCTGGATCTGGCGGGCGAGGAGACGGGTCTTTTGTTCGAGGGAGAGAGAGATTTTTGAGTTGGTGATGATATTGGTGGGGAGGAGGATGTGTTGGAAGAGAATAAGATGTTGGTCTTTACACAGAATTGAAGAGAAAGGTGATTTGTGGTCTGCCTGACTTATTCCTTGGAGAGAAAAGATAATGTAAATGGAAAGACTTTAGAAGTAAGTAAGTCTGGCAGATTCTGTGAAGCGATGGTTAGAGGAAAGAAATTCCAGGACAAGGGGAGCTGGGAAGCTGGCTATTTATAGGGATAAATGATCATTTTGACTTTCAACTTCCAGATATATTGAACTTAGGAGAGACTTCTGCAAGCTTTATATCTTCCTGGCTTCACGCTTTATTGGATATATGTTGAATCAGAGTTCTTATTAGAGTAACCACTACAATCTGCTTGGCCACAACATGGCTCAAAGTTAAGCTCCAGAAGCAACACTGACAGCCTGGAGTTAACGGTTATGCTTAAATCTGCACTCTTGATTGATTAGATAACAGTTCACATGGCGTTTCTGGGCAGAAAATCAATAGAGAACTCTTAAAGTAAGTGGAAAAGATTGCCACCAAGGTTCGTAAAGCGCTCCCACGTTGCCACCGTGCACTTTCACCCCTCGACTGCAAAGGGCGGGTTCACGCACGAACAGACCTTATTCAGATCTAGCCACACCTTATTCTATGATTTAAAAGGTTACTTGGCCACGCCATGCTGCCCATTCGTGAACCTTGCAACTAACTTTGACTATGACTTTAATGTTTCTTTTTCAAACTCTACTTCGAAACTCACGTGAGCCGTTGAAAGGTCAAAAGGCAGCTTCGCAAATCAGAAACAAGATAGATTCCAATTAAAGAGAGTAGACGCAAGGTAGAAGTAACACAATGCAGAAAGGTAAGAAGAAGAAGAGATACCACCAACTCATCACCCATCACCATCAATGGGCCATTCAGAACCTAGATCGAACACAGCCCTTGCCAACCATCTTCCTCCCCGTCCCACAAGTACACTTCTTATCCGCCCAAACAAGGTTCTTATTGTAGCAAACACACTTCCCCGCATACCCATCCCACGAAGCTGCATCACCACAGTCAACAGTGCACTGATTCTTCGACCAAACCTTTCCATCGGGACATCCACAAGTCTTCTCATCTGCATCAAAAGTCTGGCCCTTCTTGTCACAAATACACGTGCCTGATCGGGAGTTATACGAGGCGTAATCTCCACAGTCGGTGATACACTCCTTTCCACTCCATATCTTACCACCTGTGCATCCACAGCCGAGAGTAGTAGGGTTGAAGGTTTGACCCTTTTTAGGGCAAATACAGGTTTGAGACTTTTTGTGCCATGTAGCTAGTTTGCCACAATCTATGTGGCACTGTCCATCGGACCATACTTTCTTATCAGGACAAGAGCATGTTTTCGTCCCACTGTCAAAATCCATGCCTGATTTATTGCAGACACATCCCTTGGCGGAGTTACTCCAACACGCTTCAGAGCCACAATTTGAAGCGCACATCTTGCCGTTCCAGCGTGTATCAGTAGGACACGTGCAGGTCTTGTCTTCGTTGAACGTCTGGCCGGCCTTTTTGCACACACAGACATCGTCTTTGTCGTAAGCGTGTGAGCCACAGTCTTTCTTGCAGCCCTTCTTGGTGGGTTTGTAGCCGTCTTTGCAGACGCACTTTTTACCAGAGAGGACGGTGTTGGGCTTGCTGCAGACGCAGTTACCGTCGTTGTCGCGGGTGGAATCGCCTTCGCATTTGGGTGTGCATTTGTCTTTGACGGGCTCGTTGCCGGGTTTGCAGGTGCAGATATTCTTGGTGTCTAGCTCGGCGAGTTTGTCGTCGCAGATACAGACGTCCTTTTCACCGCGTGTTGAGCCCTTGGGGCACTCTGGCTTGCAATCGCCTTTGACGATTTCATAGCCAGCTGCGGTGCACTTGCATGTACCATCTTCTTGGCGTGAGGAATCTTTGGGGCATTCGGGCTTGCATTCTCCTTTGATGATTTCGTAGCCAGCTGTATCACACTTACAAGTCTTATCTTGCTGACGGGTAGATCCTTCAGGACATTCCGGTTTGCACTCACCGCCAACGATCTCATGTCCGTCGGCAGCACACTTGCATGTTCCATCCTCTTGGCGAGAGCTGTCGTCGGGGCACCCGGGCTTACACTCTCCCTTAACGAGTTCATAACCGTCCGTGTCGCACTTGCAGGTGTCATCCTGCTGACGAGTAGATCCTTCAGGGCACTCAGGCTTGCACTCCCCGCCGACGATCTCGTAGCCATCAGTAGTACACTTGCAAGACTTGTCGTCCTGACGTTCTGAGTCCTTGGGGCACTTTTCCTTGCATTCTCCGCTGACAATCTCAAAGCCCTCGGCATCACATTTGCAGGTGTCGTCTTCCTGGCGGGTAGAATCCTTCGGGCACTCTGGGACACAGGCACCTTTGACGATCTCGTAGCCCTCGGTGTCGCAAGCACAAGTACCATCTTGTTGACGTTTTGAGTCCTTGGGACATTCAGCTGTGCATGTGTCCTTCACAATCTCAAAGCCATCTGCATTGCATTTGCAAGTGCCGTCCTCTTGGCGGCTTGAGTCTTTTGGACACTCTGGCACGCAAGTGCCCTTGACAATCTCGTAGCCGTTATCGTTACACTTGCAGGTATCGTCCTCTTGTCTGCTCGACTTATCAGGGCAGGTAGGTGTGCAGGCGTTCTTGATGATCTCATAGCTGTCCTCGTCGCACTTGCAAGTGTCATCTTGTTGTCTTGTCGAATCCTTCGGACAAACTGGTACGCAAGTGTTCTTGATGATCTCCTCATCCTCTGCGTCACACTTGCAAGTATCGTCCTCCTGCCTCTTGGAATCCTTAGGGCAGACAGGAACACAAACGTTTTTGATGATCTCTTGGTCTTCTGCGTCGCATTTGCAGGTATCATCGCCTTGCCTCTTTGAGTCCTTGGGACAGACAGGGACACAAGATCCCTTCACGATCTCTTCGTTATCGGCGGTGCATTTGCAAGTGTCATCAGATTGGCGGGTCGAATCCTTAGGACAGCCAGGCACGCAAGAGCCTTTGACTAGTTCCTTGCCGCTGTCATCGCATTTGCAAGAGTCATCGTTTTGGCGAGTCGTGTCCTTCGGGCAGACGAGTACACATGCTCCCTTGACGATCTCTTGCTTGTCGTCCGTGCATTTGCAAGAGTTGTCGCTCTGACGGGTCGACCCGGTAGGGCATGTCGAGACGCAAACGCCCTTGACGAGTTCCTTGTTACCATCGTCACATTTGCAAGACCCATCAGCTTGGCGTGTAGTATCCTTAGGACACTTGTTCACACAAGCTCCCTTGCTAATCTCCTTGTTCGGATCATTGCACCTGCAGCTGCCATCAGACTGACGCGTCGAATACTGAGGGCATTTGTCGACGCAAACACCCTTGACCAGCTCCTTGTCATCCTGACACTTGCAGCTACCGTTATCCTGACGAGTGGAGTACTGGGGACACTTGTCCACACAAGAACCTTTGAAGACCTCCTTCTTGGGATCGTTACACTTGCATGTACCGTCACCCTGTCGAGTAGTACCCCCCGGACACTTATCAACACACTTCCCCTGAACAGACTCCTTTCCCGACCTGCAGCTGCACTGCCCAGACGACGAAGACCAAGCAGCCCCGTCGTCATCGCAGACACAAGACCAGCTGCCATAGCTACCAGGCTTGTACTCTGAATCGTCAGGGCACTTGTTGACGCACTTTCTGTTCTTGAGGGTCTGTGGGTCGGGGCAGTCGCAGGAGTACTGCTTGTAGATCTGGCCTTCGTAGGGGCATTTGCAGTACCCCGGAGTTGAGCCGCGTGGAGGAACCCAGGTGGCTTCACCGCAGTATTGGGTGCCGGTGCGCCTGTTCAGGCTGTTGGTGGTGCCATCGGGGGCAGCGGAGGCGCTGCTGATGGCGATGAAAGCGAGTGTGAGAGCTTTGAACAACATTGTGAATGTACAAGAAAGGCCTTGAGTGATTCACAAAGTGGTCAAAGAAAGGAGGGAAGGAATAAGACTTCGAGTGCTGGTGATTCCGAGTGAGGTTACTTGACCGACCTCTGTGTCTTTATAGAAGTCACGATGATGCTCAGACAAGTGTCGCTACAACTTTCAATAGGGGCTTGACTTCTCCGAGCGGAGTCGGAATGCCAAGAGCAATCTGGTGACAGGCTGCATGATGCTATACCTCAAAAAGCATTCGCTACCGTTGTTTGGTTATTTTCTTGATAAGAGTTCAAGTCTAGACCCATCATCACTGAGCAAATTGGTGTGGCCGATGGTCCGGAGGCGTCAGTCAATCAATAGCTCATAGAAATGGCTGAGCTGGGATGCTCAAAAGGGTGAAGCTATCGCTGAGTGACGAGGTCTGGAATTAGACTTCTTTGTTGTTCTGAGGGACCAACCGCTTGCCATCAAAGCGATGGGCGACATCCGAGAATCTGGGATGCACACTTGCGCTTGGACTGATGACCGGGAGCTAAGTGGCGCGGGCTCTGGTCGGTGGCAATGGTGCAAAGATGACGGATCTGGATCCCCAAAACAAGCATAATTTTTGACTTTCGTTGTCTACAATCAATGGCCCAATCTACCTCTCTCTCTCTGCTGTGTGAACCAGTTCGTCTGAAGTGCTTGGGTGGATTGCAGCTTAGTCGCATGTCCTTTACCCTAGTGTTGGTGTCAATCTCACTCACAGAGCGATGGCCTGGGCGGGAGACGATACTCTGGATTGCCAAATGGCTCAATCATCTACTGAGCTTGAACCTGTTCTCTCTTCTTCTTCCCCTCTCTGTCCCTTGCACTAGCTCACCATCCAGGAACAGTATCACCATAACGCGATGCTTCGATTGGACAAGGAGGAAATTATCACTCCATCTCCATCATGAGGCTGCACACAGCTGAAAAGCATCGACCCTCGCGTTGGGCAAACACTGCCTCTTCTCCTCCTGAGACGGGAATAGCAACAAACAGTTTATGCCTAAGCGGCGTGGTCAAAACGTCAAGGTACGAGCGTTAAGGCGACAAGTTGGTGGGGCGTTAAGGGCGGAGGAAGGTGAAAGAAGCGCCGTTATTCATTCAGGGGGACGCCACAACGCCACTTTGAACGGTTTTGGAACCTGGGGGCGCCACTTTGCATTGACGGGAATCGTAGAATGGCATGGTGGAAATTGGATCATGCGGGGTACTCTTTTATGCTTCTTTTTTGCCTTTGTAAGATGCTCGTATTAATTTCCACTTTCTTCCTTTGGGGGGGACAATCACAGCTGAATACACACTGAGGCTCCATTCGACGCATTACAGCAGTTAATTAACTTTAGCTCTGGCACTAAGCTCGTATCCCCGAAGGAAATGGTCAGTACGTCATATTCAGTGATGAACTCAATCTGTCCATGGCTTAGTGGCTGGCCATCCTTTACAACGGCTGCAACCCATCTTCGAGATTCAGTTTGCTGATAGTCTCAGCCCTACCCTATAAGCATTCATGCCGATGTCCAATTTCCACATTCAGACAACAATCTTATTCCCGGGACACCAGCAGTCCAGATCGGCGGATGCCAAGTTCGGGGATGGGATTTGATGGAGGGGCCACGGTTGGTTGATGTTCAGCTGGTGCATTGAACTTTGCTTCATCACTTTTTTGCTTACCAGTCTGTGTCATTTAACTCGGATCGTGTACGGTAGAAAGTCTCCCTACGTTCGCCAGAAAGCTGTATATTAATACTACATTCTATTACTATGACCGAAAAAAAGAAGAATCAGAAGAGAAATAAAATATATTCTTCCTGTAATATAATACTTATTATTACACTGCTTCTGTGATATTTTATAAATATGCTCAGAGAGTCGGAACCACCTTTCGGAAATGGATATAAGCCTCCAGTTTCCGAATTACCCCGCGTCTCTCTATTGCGGCGCATCTAAAGTTTAACGTCTAACAGTTAACCTTTCCACGAAGGATCTTCAATCTTATCTCTCTAGCCTGGGTCTCAGGAGATAAGCATACTTTGTTCACCTCCAGATAATAGCTCTTGCCTAGAGGTTAACATCTGACCAAGCTGGGTAGTAGTTAAATGATAAGGATACTGATAGCCAAGAGATATGATATTGCTTATGTTGATTCAATTACGAGACATAAATGCTCTATCGTGTACCAAGGTTGGGACTGCATATCACTCCTCCGGTCCTGCCGCGCTGGCTAGGTGCAAGTCGCTCAACAGATCATATACTTCTGTCACTGTTGGGTAGGAAGACGGAGATGCCAATAAACTCAATTCAGTTATGTCACTGATTCCATGAGTCAGTGGCCGCGGGTCTCTTCCGTTCTGAACTGCAGCAAGGTGGTTGCTATTACTTAATCTCCGCAACATATTAAAGCATGCTACAGTGTCACTCCTTTTCTATATTTAGAGAGAGGCCAAGAAGAAATCTGCAATTTGTCACAATCGTACGTTCTGATCTTAATGTTGGAGATGTCATGACACAGGTTTGCTTGGAAGGATGGAAGCTGCGGAGCAAGACCGTTGCATCCAGGTACCTCGTTTCCTTCTAGATCACCTACTGGCCTCATGAACGAGAATACCCCTCGGTTAGAGAAGTGGCTTGCCTAGAGGCTCCTGTTTTGATGTAACCATATCTATGGAGTAATGCATATAATGATATTGTTTGATGAACTATTCCCACCTGCATCATGACTTGTTGTTCCACCTCCCGGGTCCCCGGTCTAGGGTGACATGTGGGGTCCAAACCTACATGTGGCGAATGGGAGCTAACCTCAATACGATGTAGCCAATCAGGGCAGTAAAAGCTGCATACTCAATGCTCCACAGTGAAGATCAATTGTGTGGGGTTCGGAAGACTCTCGGTAGCGAAGGTCGCTAGGGAGGAGAATAAACCATTCAAGCTTAAGATAACAGCGTATAACCCACGGCATATTAGGGGTTCTACCAGTATCAGTATGATAAGATCTGTCTTTATATCAAGGATTCATCAAGTGCGACCAATTGGAGTTGAAGGACTGTAATTATTATCGCTGGCCCTCCACCAATATCCATTCCGAGTAGTTCCGGGTTCCGACTCTTCACTACCCAGCGTACCACCCACACAAAAGGCCCGGCTGGATCATGTACGCGCAGTACCGGCCAGCCAGGTCCCACGTGGTATCGTTTGTTCAACATGCACTTGTACGTCTCCTGAAACGCCATTGTTTCCCACAGTAAACTCAAAAAGCTCGCCTAGCGATCCGGAAGATAAGACTCCCGATGCGTGAATCATGAGTGGCCCGAATATATCGGTTATCTTTGTCTGCATCTGGTCGCGAAATACAACATTTGCCTACCGGATTGCAACCTCCGTGGGCTGGCAGGTTCATAGAGCCTTCGCTAAAGATGTGGCTTGCTGTATACTGCGGAGACTGAGATATGAGGTATATGCACTCTGGCCTTGTCAGCATGAACCTTATCATCTATCATATAGAACGTGGGGATTCGTTTCTGCAGCCCTTGTCAATATCTTGCGAGCTGAGGTTGGAGCGAAGGGACCACACTCAGCCGTGATAATGACAAGGTTCTTGGGAAGGGCTTTCTTTAACGCAACTAGTAGTCGGATCATGTGTTATCTCCACGATGAACAGCGTGGGATTATTCTCACCGACATGGTATAGGCATATCACACGAGTCAAGATCTGGGTCTATGGATCTGTATATCTCTATATAAACCGCCATGTTTATCCTCAATGTGAATAGAATCAACCCATCCTCGTCTGTCTCTTCGCAATCAGACATCCAGCTGACAAGATGCGTTTCACAAACTTCTTTGTCTCAGCTTCTCTGGGCCATCTAGCTCTTGGCGCAGCCTTTTCCACCGGAAGGCTCGAGAGTCGGAAACAAGATCCTGGAGCTGCTTGTTCCCTAGGCCAGACCACCGCGAGTGCTCCTCACAAGAACTTCTGGGGTAGTCTAACCACCCAGGAAACTAAGGATGTGCTTGCCCTTCTGCATAGCAATGCAACAGGCTTCAACTTGACTGCTGCAGAGGATGCGGGGAGGTATGTTTTGAATCCCAGTGTCACTGCAAATAACTAATACATTTCACAGCCGAGATAACAAGATGTAAGTCTTGCAATACATGCCCCATCATCACTGACTAACAACAACTGAAGCATGTCAGTTGAGCTTATGATGCCCAACAAGACCGATGTCCTCCCCTTCCTCTCAAACAGCACTGGTACCCCAGAGCGTTACGCCCTGGCTGCAATCATGTTTGGTGCTGTTGAAAGCGCTTACGTTCAAGAGTTCAAGGTTGGCCCCTTGCCGATCACCAACGCCTCGTATGTTATGCCGTACACCTACACCAACACAAGGGCGGGTGATGGTAAAATCCCAATTGTCAACCCTGATGCTGAGGATTATGGCAACTTCAATCTCGAAATCATGAAGGGGGCAGAGGACGTGACGAAGCGACTCTGGAATTTGGTAAGACATGGTTTCGAATAAGTTATACCCATTTATCTGACAGAGCAAAGACCGTCAAGGATGGACTTCAGATCCCCCTAGCTTTCGCAGCCCCTCTCACAGTGACAGACGACAAGGTCATCATGTGGCAGGGCTTCAATGCACCCGTCACCAGCATCTACGACACAATCTCTCTGCTTCCGCTGGGTCTGTACTTAAGGACAGACATCACAGGCCGTGATCCCAGCAAGTGGAAAGTGACAGGTTGGGTGTACAACAATGAATTTTACAAAGATCTCGATGAGTTTCGCAAGGTCATTGCCGAGCCTGATTTCAAGCCACTGGGAGCGAATTTGGATCAGCCTTGGGCGCATACGAATAAGCATGGTGATACCCTCCCTCTTGATGATGAAGCTCCACCGGCGTCTGTTCAGTCTGGAAAGGAGAGGTTTGCTGTTGACAAGGAGGAGAGCTATGTTACATGGAGTAAGTTCATACCTGGAGATCACCTGTGATACCTTGCTGATAGACTGTGTCAGTGGATTTCTCGTTCTATGTTAGTATTACACGAGATAATGGCTTGCGACTTTACGACATTCGATACAAGGGCAAGAGGATTATGTATGAGGCAAGTGATCTCATCTCGAGCTTTACGCGACTTTAACTTATTCTATTTAGCTTGGACTTGATGAGGCTATCGCGCATTATGCGTAAGTTACTCCACACAATCTCGCATTACTCTGCTGACATCATGTAAAGCGGCATCGACCCAGTACAGTCCGGAACCTGGTAAATAACGACCCATCTTCTACACGTCTGACTTTCCTAACCTCCATCTCTTAGTTACTTCGACAGCATGTCTGGCTTCGGGCCAACTATGATCTCTCTCGTCAAAGGTAGGACCCAACTGGTCCCAGGAACCACCTATCGCTGACATGACCAGGCTACGACTGCCCAGCATACTCGCACTACCTCAACGTCACACAGACTACAGGCGAGACAACATATACCCAGAAAGACGGCCTCTGTAAGTTAGCACCTACTATCACTGACGCAAGCTAACAGATCAAGGCATGTTTGAGATCGACAAGGGCTTCCCTATCCAACGCCACTCCTGGGCCGGCCACACCACCGTGACAAAGAACATCGCCTTCAACATCCGCGCCATCTACACCATCGGAAACTACGACTACATGACGACCTACCAGTTCCACCTCGATGGTTCAATTGAAGTCGACGTCAGAGCATCAGGCTATATCTCATCAGCATTCTACGCTGAAAACGAAGACTACGGCTTCAAGATCCACGACAGTCTTTCTGGGTCTCTGCATGATCATGTTATCACGTTTAAGGCTGATTTCGACATCTTGGGCGAGAAGAACTCGTTGCAGAAGGTTACTATTGAGCCTACGGTTGAGAAGTAAGGTTATTCGTGCTTGAGTTTGCTGCAGTGTGCTGACGGCGAGGAAATAGGTACAAGTGGTCTGATGGTCAGACGCGTAACACTATGAAGGCAGTCAAGAGCTTCATTGAGAATGAAGATGATGGCAAAATCAACTGGTCGCCCAATGGCGGGGCGATGTACGCTGTGGTTAACAAGGACGAGAAGAATCCTTATGGTGAAAACCCAGGATACAGGATCGTACCAGGTAAGTTCCTCCGATAACCTTGATACAGACTTCCAGCTAACATTCATAGCGTCTGGCGTGGCATATCTCACTGTTCAGGATTCCTCTGTCACCAAGAACGCAGCCCACCACACAACACATCATCTCTACGTTACTCGCCAGAAAGACAACGAAACATACGCCGTGGGAGCGTACAACTCTCTCACCCCCGAAGACCCCCAGGTTGACTTTGACAAGTACTTCAATAGCGAGTCACTTGACCAGGAGGACATGTAAGTGCAACTATGCCTTACATCATGGATTGGAGCTGATGAGAACAGTGTCGTTTGGTTCAACCTAGGAATGCACCATATGCCTCACACAGGCGATCTCCCCAATACCGTCTTCTCGACAGCCCACTCGGCCATGTTGATCGAGCCGCTGAACTATCTCCTTGGTGATCCGTCGCAGGCTAGTTCGCAGCAGGTTCTCATCAAAACCACGGATGGGAAGCCTGAGATCACGAGATATGGGGCTAAAGAGGCAACGTGCCCTGTTGATCTGGTATGTTCTTTGTCTTCTTTTCTTCTGCAAGGCGCTAATGGGTCGACTTTAGGCTCAGCTTAACCCGGATCTGTCGAGCTATTCCAACAGCGTCAGCGTTCTGAAGTATCCCTTCGATGGATCAAAGCCGGATCGTGCTTAGGTTACTTCTGAAGCGCTGGGTATGCAAGAGTCAGCTTCTTGGAGGGAATTTGGTGTATTGCAGCTGGGAACGAGGTTTCGGTGTTACCTCCACGTAGTGGATAAAAGTCACACTACATGTAACACATAACCAGTTATACCAAGACCCAATTCAAAACACACTGTACGATGAAGCTATGAATATGCTTGCCTCTTAGGATAGGCCTCTTATCTCTAATTACTGGCTCAATGAAGCTAGTTCAATGCCAAGATGCAACCTTATCAAATGAGTACTGAATGAGGACAAGATCTGCTGTTTTACAGTAGCATCGCTCGAACTTATGTAATAGAAATGAACGGCAGTATTGATCCGAGATCCCCGCCATGAAAATAGCTATCAGCATCCTAGTTTACACGGCATTTATTTGACCGACTATCTATCTGTCCTATAAGAATTGGAGTTCCGTTTTGCAACTTCACACATTCCATTTCAGCCCCTTTGCGGTCTTTTTCCAGATATTTATTGCCCGTCATGCGGTTCACCGCGTTACTAAGCGTAGCCCTCCCAGCAGTGGCAGAGCTTCTCCGCCCCAATGGTATATCCTTGAGCCTGAACGGGACAAACTATTTCTTATCGCCATCGCTTCGAGAGACTTTACCAACAGGCCTCATTCCAGCCACCATCGCTACAAATTCTTTGGCATTTGTGCCGGTTACTATCGTTGGCAATAATACCGCTCAAGATGATCTCCCCAAACTGTTCAGAAGCTGGGCGCAAAAGGACGACGTTTGGCAACCTGCCTTCTCTGAATTGGTGGTACTTTTGAAGTCGCCTGGTTGTAAATCAACAACGACAAACTTCCTCGCGAGTATTCAATCGGTCGTATCTTGCTGGGATAAAGCTCTGGAAATTCCCTCTGGGCCCTACTTCTTAGACCCATACAGAGGAAGCCTGCATCAAGTGTATCGGCTGTACGATGACTTCTCCGGTAGCTTTCTGGAGTCGATTCTCCAGTCGCCAGACGGAACCTTTCAGACTCTCCCAGCGCATGCTCCCGGTAGCAGTTCTCTCACCATCGGAGTTCCGTCGCGTTTATACTTCACCCGCACGAAGGACAAGCCGCTGGCAGGCGTTCGAGTGGGAGTCAAAGACCTTTATGACCTCAAGGGTGTCAAGAGCTCTCGGGGCAACCGTGCTTGGTACAACCTCTATCCCGCGGCGAACAAGACAGCACCAGCTATCCAGAACCTAATCGACGCTGGAGCCGTCATTGTCGGTACGCAGAAGCTCTCCCAGTTCGCGAATGGGGAGAATCCAACAGCAGATTGGGTCTCGTACCTTGCGCCGTTCAACCCACGCGGAGATGGGTACCAGGGCCCATCCTCATCCTCATCAGGTGCGGGGGCGTCTGTAGCGTCTTACCCGTGGTTGGACCTTGCTGTTGGAAGTGACACAGGAGGCTCTATCCGTGGACCTGCAGGAGTTTCAGGGGTTTTTGGCAATAGACCTACTCACGGCCTTGTCAGTCTGGACCACGTGATGCCGCTTTCACCCAAGATGGACACGGCGGGTTTCCTGACTCAAGATCCGGAGATCTGGGGAGCAGCGCAGGCGGCCATGTATAAAGAAAACTACACCACTTTTTCGGAAAAGAATACTCAGTACCCGCGGACGATTTATACTGCAGGTTTTCCAGGCAATGACACCCCGCAGGGCGCAATACTGCACCAATTCGCCAACGATCTCGCTGATTTACTGGCCACCAATATTACAGAATATAACATCAGTCAGCACTGGGCTTCAACCGGTCCAAAGTCCGTTCGAGACACCCCGTTGACGGAGTTTTTGAACTTGACCTATGCTGCTCTTATTACCAAGGAGCAGATTGCTTTAGTCAAAGAGCCATTCTTCAGAGACTACGCTGGTATGTAAGAATGTGCAAGACGTGGGTTTTATAACTAATTTAGGGAATGTCCACAGCCGCTCATGATGGTCGCCTGCCTTACGTAGACCCAGCACCTAGCGTGCGGTGGGCATGGGGCGAAAGCCAGCCAGACTCCATCCTCGACGACGCCATCAGGAACAAAACCGTCTTCATGAACTGGTTCAACCAGAAAGTTCTTCCAAAGGATAAAGATCCCCACCGATGCTCATCTAGCATCTTACTACACTCCGAAAGCACTGGGAGTTTCGGCCGGCGCGACGTCTATCGTGACCCTCCTACTGTTCCCTTCGGCTGGACATTGAGCAGGATTTCCATCTTTAGCGAAGCACCGGATAGTGTCTATCCAATTGGGGAAGTGCCGTATTCTAGTGATATCACTAACCATGAGGAGAGCTTGCCTGTGACGGTTGACATCATGGTGGCGAAAGGTTGCGATGGCCTCATACCAAGGTTGGCTCAGGAACTTGTTGGACAAGGCATATTGAAGATTCCAAAGACTGGCGGGAGTATATTAGGAGGAGAGGTTTTGTTTTAGTTCTAAGCCTTCATGAGGCAAGCAGATAGATGATGAGGGTATTCGTTCCATGCCAATCTTAGACAAGTCTTCTTTAGAAGGTTAATTTACGCTAATCTTGATCTGTGGCTCCACCTCCACTGTTGGCATGCCCAATGGTGTCGTGTCGGGTAGCATTCCATGTGAAAGACAAATAAAGGGTGCTCTCAATTCATTCCATTCCAGAAAAGCTAAACCATGAGGACCTAGTCTTCACTACATACATCGCTCTGCAGTGATACCATGTTAGAAGACTCCCAGCAGTGAATTGACGTCCTTGGGGCTAACTTACTCCTACTCTGTTGGGACATTTATGTGATCTCCATGTGTCATAGACCCCATCACTCTCGATACATCCCCAGTCACAATCGCAGCCGAAGGGATTGCATAATGTTCCGCTGATATCGTAGTTGCTGACGTTTGTGCACCCTGCGGCGCGCGCATCTCTTCGCGCATCGGTTCGGTTGTGACAGCTACCAAGTTCATCGCGAATCTGGATGTATCGAGCAGAAACTAAGCATGTGGAGCACGCTGCGATGATGATAATGAACTTCATCGCGACGAGAACAAGCCAGAGGAAATGGGGTCAATGGAGAATGGCTTGTGAGAGCCAAATAACTATAAAAAGGTGAAAAGGCGTTATATGGGCATTTTGGCAAGATGGCCATCTTTTCTAATCAGCAGGGCATGGCCGTAACTTAAGTTAACAGACTCCAAGACATGTCTAAGGCCCAATGCAGCGTTTCCTGACAATATGTCGCATCAGAATTGCGGCCGCATTCCATACAGGAAGTGGAGATATGTCAAGGGAGGATGGACATTCTTAAAACTGGATATGCTCAAATTGTGCATCACGAGGAAGGCTTCACCTATATCAAATCTCGCCGATTCAATTAAAATAAACTAATAAAAAAATCATTAGACTTGAACGATTAAAAATCAGAGCAAACGTGAAAAAGAATTAATCAGCTGTGTCAATCGACCACGCCAGGAGTCGAACCTGGAATCTCTAGAGGGATCAGTTACTGAGGACCGAAATCTAGCGCCTTAGCCATTAGGCCACGCGGCCTGATCTTATTGGATAACATTCTCGCTAGAGAGATGGCATTATGCACGTATTCTCATCTTCTCTTCCCAGGATATCACTATCTATTCATCGCGTCTTCCACCCTCTTTCCTACCAACCTTTACAGCTCCCTTCTATCATGTTCTTAGTATTGTTATTGCCAGGTTAAAGGCTAGAATTATAGCCAAATATACCTTAAGCTTCTTAGGACATAATTCTCACCAGCTACCTGGAATTCGTACTAAGCTGCATATAGGCGACTTGCAGCTCTCTAGTTTCCACTGCTCTTGAGTTGCGCTCTTAAGAAAGCCATTAAATACGCATACACTTATAGGCATATACAGGCCATGATGTGACTTCAAGAAAGTGAAGATAATAGACTTGCGCGTTCCTGTTCCAGATAGAGTGTAACCCTCAGGGATTCTATAAAGTTTAAGAGCCACAACGCCTCACCGTCTTCCTCAGAACATAACATTTAAACTTTCGCCAAGGCTCTTGCTGTATACACTAGACGAGTTTCAATGGGGCTGTGGAGTATCTTGTAGACCTTTGCTCTATTCAAAGTCTTGAAAGTGGTTAATCTAACTATCTCGAGAAGTGCAAACGAGATACCTATATCCACTGCCCCGTTGTAAGGTGCTGGGTAGATGCACAAGTAATAGTTCTGCTCCACATAAGAAATATATATAAACTAAGCTAAGCGCATATTCCACCTCGGATCTTTTATCTTCAGTCTATGTAACATCCTACCTGAAACTTCTTTATTGCTCAATATACACCGACAATGCAGATCAACTTGGCTACTCTTTTCCTCTTCCTTGCTACTGGCTTCCACGTAGTAGAGGCTAACAAATGCCTCTACACCGATCCTCGCAAGTGTTCTCAAGGTTGTCCCAATGGAGGCTGTACTGGGAGCAGCCCAGATGATGTATGCTGGTACAACTGTTAAAGAACGATTGTAAGGATATCAATTACCTCTCGTCGCCTTACATTAACCATGATAGGTAACCCCGAAACCAGCTATCCCAAGCCCAATTATTACATTCCCAATCAACCACCAATCATCTTAGGACCAACAGTGCCAACGTTCCACGAAAGCATCGTTCTCACATAGCCTCAAGGAGATATACCCTGATACTTTTCCCAAATGGTCGTGCTCTATGATGAGACGATGGGTCATATGAGTAGTTCTCGTTATAGCCTCAGAACAAAGATATTCAGCTATAAACACCCCTTACAAGTTCCAACTGCGCTTCACTTAATGCACAAGACAAAACCTAGAAATTGAGATAACATGAAACATATTTCAGATTTTCAATTTATATCCAACACTATCTATCTATCTTACATCTGACACTCACAGCGAGGAGGTTATCTCGATTGTGATGTCTGTCTCCAGCTGAATCTTAACTCAGACGACCTCAGGAGTCTCCTGCTCACCCTTCTTGTCATCAAGAGGCTTGTCAAGACCAAGGCGCTGGCGAGTGGTGTAAGTAGCAATAGAGCCATTGGCATCAGCCTCAGTGATGAGCTCCTTGCGGCGAG